TAACAAGCTAAAACCATGGTTCTTGATGGTTTATGCAACGCACGTCAATAGCTACAGACACTAAGGGCCCTATCATACACCCGGCACAATGTGGCGCAAGGCGCGGCGCAGTAGTCTTTTGGTAGTTTCAGCTTGGCGCAAGAGTCGTTTTGAGGTGTTGCGCTACGCTGTTTAAATAGCAAATGCATTAGCGCTCATATGTGCACCCATAGGCGTTCTGGTCTACAAAGGAAGGCGTTCTGAGGTGGACCGCTGGCGCGTCGCTATTTTGAGAAACTATAATAGATTTTTCATTAGACCCAAACAAACCCGGTCTAAACTCCGGCGCAGAGTTGCGCCTCGCTTATGCACTGCTTAATACGCACAAGTGAGCAATAGGCAAATATCTTTACATCTGAAAAAATTTAAATATTAAGGATATATATATAGGATATAATAAGAATAGATATAGGATATAAATATAAAGGATTAAAATATTACAAAACATATTATTTTCTAGCCTACATAAATATAAAAAACCACTGCTTTTATGTCTTCTTCATCTCGGGAGGCTTTTTCAGTTCATTCATAACAATTTGCTTTTGTATAATGTTGTTATTATTATTATTAGCAGTATTATTTATTATATCCATATTTATATTTATTTTATTAAAAACAAGCTTAGATTTGCCCACCTGTCAGGTTTTAGACTAAATGGGGCACATCATGTGTTTTAGGATATAACTTTTTGAGGAAACTTCGTTATTGTTATTCATTTATTCGTTTGCTGGAAATTAGAACTGAATTTAGAAATAGTTTTGAAACGAATATTTGCGCTTAACAAACAAAATTATTTATTTATAGACTAACTGATGTCTGTGCGTAAAGGTTTCCCTATCCAAGAGCGAAAGTGAAAGTGATCCATTATCTCTCATTCTCACGCAGTAGATGCTCTGTTTAACAGTTTTCTGTTAAAAAAAACTGTTAACTGTTTGCTAGTGAAATGCTCATTTTTTTCCACTTAGACTTACTTTGCGTCCTGTAAATAGCGAATGCAGCTGGCTCTTAAAGGGAATGGGAGATGAGACTCTAATTGGTTTATTCTCAAAACACACCTATAACTTATTAAGAAAATAAACTCAACCCTTTTAGACCATGCGCCATGGTGCAAAGCAGATTTTCCTGTCCTTAAATTAGCAAAAATGTGTTCTGTCACGCCCTGAAAGCGTTTGCGCCCTGCATTTTGCGCTCTGCGCATGGACCGTCAAAATAGAGCCCTAAGAGTCAGAAAACATAAAAAAATAAAAAATAAATATAAAAAGTGTAGAAATAAAAATTTTAACATAAAACAAAAAACCAATGAGCCCTGATCCGTCAGTGCCATAGATATTTATTTTGTTTTGTTTTTATATGTTTAATTTGACTCTCAAAAATATGTAAGCCATCTACTTGCATTTTATGAATCTTCTGCCATCATGTACTGAAGGAAAAAACTCACTTACTGCACGTACAGTAAATTAACAGAACTTTTTTTTGGTGAACTATCTCTTTTAAGTCGCTAACAAAAACAAAAGTTAAGAGTGTCCTTTTTTCCGCCATCATGACATACATCCACTTATAATGGTCCTTTATTAAAAAAATAAAAATAAACAATTTGGACGATGCATGATTTTGATCTTTGCTAACTGACTGGATTGTTGAAAGAGAGGTGTTAAAATGAAGAAAGGTTGATGAATAGATGCAGTCAGAGCAGAAAGAGACACATTTACATTTAGTCATTTAGCAGACGCTTTTATTTAAAGCGACTTACAAACGAGGACAAGGAAGCAATTTACGCAACTATAAGAGCAACAATGAATAAGTGCTGTAGGCAAGTTTCAGGTATGCAAAGTGTGCAAAGACGCAGAACATTAGTATTTTTTTTCTGTAATACAGTTAGCAATGGAGCTAGAGAGGCAATTGCAGATTAGGAAGGAAAGTGGAGACTAAATAGTTGAGTTTTTAGTCGTTTCTTGAAGACAGCAAGTGACTCTGCCGTTCTGATGCAGTTAGGGAGTTCATTCCACCAACTGGGCAGATTTCATTTTTTGATTTCATGCCAACTTGTCCTTCTAACAAGTCAAAAAAAATGTGAATTTATAAAAAAAAAAAAAAAAAACATAATTCTTATTTATCCTAAGGTATTGTACTGTTGCTTAGTGTATCTCAACTTACTCTGGACTCTTCTGAGTTGGCTGGACTTGTCAGCAGTGGGCCAAGCTCAGAGAGCTCTGCATCCTCCATATTGGCTTCATCATCAGTGGTGCGCCGCTCAGCATCACTGTTGGAGCCGCAGTCACCATGGTGACACGTTGTCATGGGGAGACAAACCTAAAACTCCCCAAGTTTCCACCTCGTCCCACCGTTCACAGTCTAAGCCTAATGATGACAGAACATGTGGAATTTCGATCAGAAAGTTTCCTGATTGATTAAACTTTTTGTCTAAGCAAACAATAAAGATGATTATAAATGTGTACCATTTAGGTTAGTTTACAGACTAAAATGTTATGCAGTAGTTTGGCAGTAGTTTAAAAATGGAAAACCAAGTCATGCATATTTAAAACAAGAATCATTTGCTGATATATTAAAATTAATTGTCATTTTAAATGTTTTATGTTTTGCCACCTTCCTTCAAACGTCTGAGATTGACCCTTTTGTCAGAGAAATGTTTTTAATAATTGAAATACAATAACATTTACATTAGTATTATCACTTATTTTTTATACATTTAAACAAATACAGGCCGGATTAAGTGTTCGGTTTCCTTCTCAAGTAAATATGAAGGTAAAATGTAATTTGACATTGTATTTACACAATATCACCTGAAACGTTAAAGCAGACAATACATTTTCATTCTATTTGATTTTCTTTGCTTCTGTAAAATGAATTTGATGCAGACACAAAATAAGATGTCTCATCGTTGACCCACAACTGATCCAGTCAAAAATCACCATATAATAGATTTTATAGTATTCAATTCATATCTAAATTGTTCATTAATCAACTGACCCACCTAAAGTACCAGACACAAAGGAACCCCCTGAATAAATGATAGGTTACCCTTTAAGGTAATTTCTGATACTTCCTTGATCTAGATTAGAAAGACAGGTTTTAAATAAACTGAAGCGTACCAGTGTTATCATATGATCAGCTGTTTTTCTGCTCAGGCTGAGAACTGGATGCTCCAGTTTTCCATAAGCCTTACAGGTGTATTACATCTTGCTAACGTAACTTAGCATGCTTACAGGCTAACCAAACAAATAATACACAAAAATATACGCTCTTTAACAATCTCCACATTTAATCATGTTCAGCTAAACGTGATTTCCACCGACTGTGTATAAATTACATCACAGTCAAATACATCGTGGATTTATGACCAAACTAAATCAGGTTAGCCGAACCAGACAACACTAGCTTGTATGCTAATACACTTCCCTATTGTCAGATTTGGATTTTAATTACGTAAAAACGCGGTTGCTTTAATCACAGTTCGTATATACAAATCTAACAGTTAATGATGTAAGAGTTGAGTGTTCATACGTAGTTACCTGGCTGGACAGGCTGTCAGGTCAGTTCATGGGAGTTTAACAGCTGCTGTTCTCCGTCCGGTCGCTATGAGTCTCTATCTTAAACCTGAAGAACCTGTGGAGTCAAGTAGCAAATTATAACTAAAAAATTAATTAAATTAGCATAAATTCTAATACAATTTCGTAAACTTGCACGCACCGACAGTGAAGGTACTACTGCTGCTGCTATCAGTCAGTCAGTCCGTCAGTCTGTCATAGAGACGAAAAACACGTATTACCGGTTACTGTGAGTGGACTGAACACGCACGCTCATCTGATGTCCTATATTTTGAAAGTGCGATAAAAATGTTGTGCAAATGGAAAAGAATTCAAATACCGCAATATTTATATATGCAGACTTATCTAGAAATTCAGGTAAAACTCACGAGTCATGCGAGTCAAAGCTTTTGCTGTGTATAAGTTACCAGAATAAAAAAGCTGTTATAGGTACATTCAAATGCCATCACCACCAACATGCTACTTATTTCATTTATACACTAATTAAATTGGACATTCACCATATGCACATGCACATTAGTCAATATTCTGTAAATCCATGCATTTTATTGTGGCTAAACTGTCACATGGTTGTGGTTACATTTTACAAAAGTACAACATTTTTTAAATAAATTACATTTTTATTAATTACAAATGTAATAAACCATTCACAATTGAAGAAGTTGTATAATGTAATTTCTAATTATTTGTCTATATCGGAAACCTAATAAAAACAAGTAAATATATCTACAAGTACTCTTATGAGCGACTGTATATTTATATAGCCTATAAGGTTATACAGGATATATAATAGGTAGGGCCACATGGAGTCTGTGCGTGCAGAAATCCGCAGATTTCTGACCTATCACTGTGTCTATTTATTTACTTGTGTAAATGTGTGTAAATTTACATTTATTCAGTTTTTAAACTATTTTCAGTAATATTATTGTCTGACATTAAACTGTTAATTTGATTTATTTACAATACAGTTTGTAAAGTAATATTTTCTGTCTTTTAGTATATATATTTTATGAGAGACTTGCTTTGTTTACCAAATAAGGGGTTTAGATGGATTTGCTTTAAAAAAACAATAAATAAAAGCTATTATTTTTATTTCATATATTAAGTTTTTAGTTACGATACTCCCAAAATATTTCCGCATAAATCCGCAGATTTTTTTACAAAATTCTCAGCAGAAATAGCAAAAAATGTCCACAGATTCTGTCTGGCCCCAATAATAGGCCTACAGATATACTTTGCTCAATTTGAAAGGTAAACACTGTATTTGAAAATATTTTTATGAGCTCTGTTCATTTCATATGCATGTTATGAAATACACGGTGCCTCAGTGGTTGGCAGTTTGGCACTGTTGCTTTACAGCATGAAGGTCGGCATTGGTTCAAGTTCCTGAGTCTCGGCTGGTACATTTGGCATTTTGTGTGGAGTTTGCATGTTCTCCCCATGTTTGAGTAGGTTTCAAGTGTGCCGCAAGCCTGCGTTTGAGTGAGGGTCTCGGTCGTTAGATCGCCCCCTGGGGGCTGGCTGCAGTACAAGTCATAAAGCCCGCCTCCTCCGTGTTAATGAAGGAGACTTGAGCCCAAATAAAAAAAATTATTACACTTGCAATAAAATGTCCCGAAAGATGGTTCTGGTCGATTAAGGCACTGGTTATTGTGCTGAAATAGGTGCAGATCTTCATTTTTGTAAACAGTTTGTTTTTAGCAGTAATTTAATGCTGGGCGTGTCATCGTGATTGACAGCTGTGATTGACAGTTTCTCAAAGCGCGGCGTCTGAGCCTTCGACAGGAGACTGAAGTAGACTGAAGTGTTATTATTAGATTTCTGTGTTATTTTACCATGACAAAATGAGTTCAGCAGTAAACTATAGTTTCTGACATACATGATCCTGGTGGAACACTGTTTATTCGCTAAGTTCAGGGCTTTTTTCGGGCTTTATTAGTTTGCTGATACACGCCTAGCCACCCAGATAGCAAAACACAGTTCCGGCTAGATTCTCGCCTGCCGGAGACTTATCTCTTAGAGCTCAGACTGACTAATGTTACCTCTGCTGGACCTACTCCGGATGCCTGGACTCACTACCCAATTCCAGCCCGAGTCAATCGAGCCAGATGCGGCGGCCGAGCGAGCCGGCGCTGCCGCATGCGAGCCGGAATCAGCCCGCGACGCCGCGAGTAGGTTATGCGCTGCGGCCTGGAGCTGGCGCGATTGAATATATAAAACCCTCATATTTGTTAACGTTTTTACATCCATTTGTGTTGATATGACAGCAAACGCATGCTGAGAAGTTCGGGGGGCGTGGTTGATTTTACATAAAGCTTTTGGTTGGAAGCTCGACTCCGCTCATTTTCGCGGCTCCTCCTCTGGCTCCATCAGACAATCCTTCTGCGCATGTCTGGCTCCAATTTCAGCAGTCTTTTGCGACAGTTTGTGCCCATCAAGCAGGCGTTTTGCCCTCAAGGCGTTCAATGGGAAAAAGGGCTGTCGCGTCGTCCATATTATTTACAGTCATTGGTAGGTTTCCTCTGCATACTCACACACTCCCAAGACATGTGTTTGGTGAATTTAATAAACCAAACTGGCCATAGTGCATGTGTGTGTATGTGAGAGTGTATGGGTGTTTCCCAGTACTGGGTTGCATCTGGAAGGGCATCAGCTGTGTAAAACATATGCTGGATAAGTTGGTAGTTCATTCCGCTGTGGTGACCCCTAATGAATAAGGGGACTAAGCTGAAGAAAAATGAATGAATAAATATATATTTTCACTCTTTTTTTTAAAAATTACGCAGCTTATTAATTTGTTTCATCATGTTAGTAATTATGGAGACCTTGAATTCCCTTGTTTTGATTAAATGACAACAAAGAAACTTACTATTATAACATGGACACAATTTGCCAAACAATAGAATAATCATTATATTATGCACATTTTAGAGTTTAGGCATAATGTTGCCATGTAATCTTCTGTAAATACAAAGTAAAACAATCTATAAAACTATCTATAGTGCATTATTGTCTTTAAAATGTCTACTTTGACTGTACTTGATAATAACAAGGGAAATAAATGTAACAAAGAAATATAATTTAAAAGTGTAAATATATACAAATGTACTTTTTAAAATACTGCTTACAAAGAAACTATATTTGTATTAAAGTCGGTAAAGTATATTAGTGAGTCCGCCTTCAATACTGCTAGGAGAAAGTTTGGTTGCAACATGAGCCATTTTACTTCATGCTCTTTTCTAACCTCATTACGCACACGCGTATTGCGTAAACTTCCAGAACTACAAAAACTACAAAGCCCAGAAGAACGGAGAGGTAACTCTCCGTTTTACGATTGGGCAATATCGTTGACACGCCCCACCGACTTTCGCTGATTGGCCTTCTTCCCGAGTTCAAGGCGACTCTTCCTTTTTCACTGGTCAATGTGAAAGAGAGGCGTGAGCAGGACGCAGCGGAGAGCCGTGCAGCGGGAGGAGCAAACAGCGTGTTTCCGGTAAGAGCGACACACACAACAGTACCACTAGAAACGTTCTGTAAGAAAATTAAAGCAGGCTTTAAAAGTCACATCCTTCTATGTGATTCGACATCAACTTAATAACTGCTTGTATTGTCAGGGAGTCTTCTATCGAGCGGCGCGGAACACACGCGGCAATGGAAGCCGAGTTTCGGGAAATCGATGAGCACGGGAACTGGAACGACGTTTACCAGGTAAAGACTGATTCTGCTTCATACTTGACTGTGATGCTCCAAACAGCCATACCGGCCCCAAACAAGTTCTTCTGTTTATTTGGTGTGATAGATCATTTTGAACAGCTCAGACGCGCTGCTTCTGCGCTAACTACAGAATACATTATATTATAAGTTATAGAGATGACCTGAATTTGTTACTTGTAAACATAATATAGATGTATATAGAGCTAATGAGATCATTTTCAAGAGACTATTTTAGGGTGGTTGGAGGTTTATATCTGCTCGTATGGCATACATGTAGTTTTTATTGACTATAGTAGATAAATGGCACCCTAAACTGGATGCTGGTGGTCCCGCATTACTGTGTGCCTTATCACATCCTCTGTTAAATCCCCTTTGCCATGTATGTGATTCACCTACAGAATGAAGCATGTTGGTCTCATAGCCTTCTGTTGTACTGTAGGAGATTAGGCAGCAGTCCAGTGACCTACCATGCAAGATCGCCAAACTTCCAGAAAACAGAAGTCGTAATCGATACAGAGATGTCAGCCCATGTAAGTGTGCGCCTCTCCCCTTGTTCGACACACTCACTGACACCTAACGGAAGGGCCCTGTTATCAGCGACTGTTAAAGTCATTTCACACTGAAGATGTCATGTCTTTTTTTCTCTCCCTTTTTTTTTTTAACTCTTCCGTCACAAAGACTTTAAAGAAGTATGCTGTTGTGGTTTCCTCTCTCTTTGACTCTTTCTCTTTTTCCGCAACAAGCCAAAAAGGTCCCCTCACAAAGCACAACATTAAATAAATTCCTTTGTATTTTATCTCTTTCAATTGAGCCTTTTCATTTGAGTGATGATTTTTTTTCTTCTCTCTTCTGGGGAACTGAGAACAGGACCTGAAAAAAGAATCGTTCTACCGCTGAACTCGCAAAGCATCATGGGTGATGTGCCTCACAGCTTAATCGCTCTCTCTTTTTACAGTTGACCACAGCCGTATTTGTCTACAGATCGGTTGTAATGACTACATCAACGCCAGTTTGATCTCAGTGGAGGAAGCGCAGAGAAAATACATACTAACTCAGGTGACGTGCTGACACTTACACCTCAGATTTCTCTCTGCTGAGAATTTGTTTGATTTTTGTTCACTTGCATACTGAAACACTCATAAAGACAACACACAAAATGACAATGTTATTGTCTAAGAGTTATGCAAATTATATTGTTAATGTGCAATATCAACAAAATTTGTTTTTGCTTGTAATTTTGTCTTTTCAAACCAAAATCCTAAATTACTCTCTGACAGCAGATAGGACAGTGAGTGCAAATTGTATCGGTTGGTTGGAAATAGGGAGAAAAGTAAACACCTGTCAGTCTAAACTAGGCATGGGGCGATAACCATTTTTCAAGGAATACCGCAGTTTGGAAATATCAAGGTTTTAAAACCGCCAAAATGTTTGGCTATACTGTTTCTAAGGTATGTGTAAGATTTATTTAATTTATTTATGTTTTTTTGACAACAGTATCTCCAGCAGAAAAAGATATCCAAAGATGCTGTTTTGTATTGTGAAGAAATCTGTGTTTTTGAAACTAATAAAAACAGCAGAAGTCAATAATTCATTTGAATTATTTAGCCTGACATGTTAACGATGAAAAAAAAATTCCAAATAAATAGTGTTCAAAGGGGGAAAAAGTTTTAGTTTTTTACCCAAACATTTAAAAATAGTTTATTTTAGAGCAGTAATCACAATACCAGGTTACCGTAAAATCGTAATATTATTATCCAAGGTTATCATGCCATCATAATCTTATACCGGCCCATGCCTAGTCTGAACTAGGGATGCACAATATAGGAAAAATCTGATATTGTGATATTTTATTTTTCTGCTATTTAAGTATTGAGATATGAACACCATTTCAGAAGATGGTTTAAAGGTTTTCTGGGGAGTCTAACAGTATTTAGGTACAAAAATTAAATAAATCACAATGCAAAAAAAAATATATATATAGTTTTTTTTTTCTTGTTTCTAGTCAAAATATCCCGAAAAGTCTTAGAGTAAGTAAAAAATAAAAAATAAATAAATGAAAATTAAAGAAGAAATGAAGCACTCAGTCTTATTTTGTACATTGGATTCCACTTTAATGAAAATATATTAAACTCTATTATTGTAACCATTTAGCAGAAAACTGCGTGTTTAATATAGATTTTAGACCTAGGGTGCAGCTATCTTGGAATGTCGCTGTGTCTGACGTCACGGGGTTGGTTGAGTTTTCACCGCTGAACAGAAACAATGGAAGTTAAGGAGACTGTAAAGCCTAATTTAACCCAATGCGTGAAGTTGTGGACATGAAGCTGGTGCAAATGCAAGCATCATTTGTGTGTCTAATATAAAAGTATATTTATTCTATTTTTACTTTTATTTTCCCCGTTTAATTACCGATCATTTGATGCGCTTCACTCTCTATATTACACTGCTTGACTGGGTTTCCACCATGATTGTAACGGACTGAACACAGAGACTGGACAGCCTAATTTAACCCAATGCATGAAGATGTGGACGAGCATCACAGAGCTGCTGCAAATACAACAATTACAAGCATTTAAGAGTCTTCACTTGTGTCTTTTTTTT